AATATAATCACCATAATTTAAAATCACCGTTAATTACAACACGTATGAATGGAAACTTTAAAGAAAAAACACAAAGAAAAACTTAAGGAATCATGAAATGAATGATGTTCGTCGATCATTTGCTAACCTTTGCCCATTATCTTGTATCATTGATTTTGTTGTAGTAATATCGGTAATTGTAGTAGCATTAGTAGTAGTAGTAGTAGTAGTTGTTGTTGTAGCAATTGCTGTTGTTGTTGTTATTGTAATAGCATTAGTATTAATATTATTATTAGTATATGGTATTAAATCATGATCAAAATTTAAACGTGATGGAGAAGTTATAGATGATGATGATGATGATGGTAATGTTGATGATGATGCTGGTACAGTAGTAATATTTGCAAAAAACATTTGTGATATAAAATGTGGTGGTAATGTAAAACGTGAATGCATTTTACCGGCCCAATCTGTAAATATAATTAATTTTAAATTTAAATCATACAAATAAAATATGATTGTTACAATTTTTTTTTTTAAAAAAAAAGAAAAAAAATTTGTCAATTTTTTTGAAACAAAAGGTCTGAATAAATCTTTTTCGTTAAATAACAAAAAATAAATAAATAATTTAAAGTTAAAATTATACGATTGAAAATTAATTATTTCATTTTTAAATATTTAATTTATGCAATTAAACAATAATTGTTATATTTCAATATATTTGATTTATACAAATTAAAAAATGTTTAATTTCATTTTAACAAAAAAGAAAAAACTCATATGCTTTAAATAAAATACATGAATTGAAATACTTGAAAATCATATAAATAATACTTTAACATAATATTGAATTTTTATGCATAAAGTGGCAATGTGAGTATATGTAATTCTTAAAAAAGTATTGCATATGTAAGTTATAATTAAAATAGCAGTACCATTTATATGATATTTATAATTTAATTTCTGAAATTTTTTTTAATTTTTACAAAATTTTTGCAATAAAAAACATCATTGAATTATTTTTTTCCAATTTAATTTATGCATTTTGTATTATTTAAAGAAATAATTATTTTTAAAATTTAATTTTGAAAAATTTTACAAAAAACGGAAAGGTGGGAAAAAAAATTGAACTTTTTCTTTTTTCCATTTGATAACAAAATAAATTGTCTTACATTGGCGAATTAATGCTTGTTGCATAATTGCTGGACTATATAAATTGGGCAATAACACTGGTGCACGATCATTGCGAAGATCTCTGAAAAATTTATTCAATTTTAATTAATTAATTAATTTCATATTTGTCGAATCTTTCTTTGAAACTCTTTCAACAGAAGAATTTGGCGGAATAATACTGGAGGTATTCACTATTTTTTTTTTAAAAAAAAAAAGAGATGTATGTAAATAATTAAATAAACAAGCAAATAAGTAAATAAATAAATAAATCAATCAATGAGAACCAATCAATCAATCAATGAACGAATCGATAAATAAGTAAATCAGTAAATAAATGAGTAAATGATTAAGCAAATAAATAAGTACAGAAGTAAGTAAATAAATAAACAAATGGAATAATTGCAAATATGTTTAATTTTATATGTAAATTGCAATTTATGGTAATTTTACAATTATCTATTCTCAATTATTTTATCACTTAATCATTTGCTTATCATTAATACTACGGCATGCTAATTGCATCATTTCTATGATATTATTACAACTTGATATCATATCATTCATTTTCTTCAAAT